AGGGGACGCCTTTGGGATATAATTACATATATAGAACCTAGGGACCCTTTTATCTGAAAAGATAAAAGTTATATTTTAATTAATTTTTGACCGTAAGTCAGCGAGTAGGCTGTGTGTCAAACCATAGAATTAACTATAAGTCAGCGGGGAGGCTGTGTGTTGAGCTATAAATAACCTATTAAATAGGAAACTCGGATTGCACACTCGCAATACTTATTATGTGTATTTTCGCATGATTGATTCTCAGAAATTTGCTGTAATGTACCATTTGATCTAATAAAATCTATTAAACAAAAGGATAAATTTATTATTTATCAAAAAAAGAAATGAACTTTAAAGTATATAAATACAGAAACGTGGACTGAGATTGATGTATCAAAAAAATTTGCAACATTAAAAATCATTAAACTTTATACAATATTATTTTGAATAAATTCTTTAAAAACAATGCTGTTTAAATTGACTATATACTACTTGTGTGATTGATTCAATTATTAACACCAAAGGAACAAATTAATTTTTTCACAATAAAGCTGTTTGTTGGTTTGTTTTTTTGATTTTAATATTAATCCATGGTTTCTGTTCATAATACAAATTTCATTTTATTTGTTTTATTTGCTTTATTCAAATTACTATTAATCATTTTATTTGAATTATTTTTACTCAAATTGTTTGTTTTTGTATGAGTAAACCTTATTTGAATAGAAACCTAACTACTACTCAAGATTATGATATTATTTTAGCACAAAGAGCTTTAGAAATATTTAACCAACAATTTAATTACAATATAAAAGAGTTATTGGTTTATTAAATTAAGCCAATAATTAACTAAAAATGTGATTAATTTTAGAAGGATATCTGATAAATATTGGCACTTTCAACTAATACTTTTAGACTATATGATAAAAATACTAAGAATATTATTAACCTATCAGTATGCTAATACCTTGATTATTTTTTTAAAGAATAATCAGATTCTGATATTTGCTGATACCCCATTACCCAATTTGGCATCATTCAACCAGTAAAAAGAGAACCAATAGATTATATATAAGCAAGAAAGACGGGACTATAAATTAGCATAAAAGAATTTTAAATCATGCACAAAACCATAATAGCTTGAGAGCAGTCATACAATTTTTTTATTGTATATTTTAAATATAATTAATTATATGTCTTTAATAAAACAAACATGACTTAGCTATTTAATCCTTTCCTTTCCTTGTATGTGAACACCTCCATCCATCAAATATTCATGATCATTATGCAATATGTTTGATATCACCATTGGCATAACAAACAATTGAATCACCCAGGTAGTAACAATACCAAGGCCATGCAAAAATGAAACTTTTAATAATGTGTGTCTACCCAGATCTCTGAGGGCTCACTAAATAAATTATCTTTTCTGATTATCAATTATGGTTCCTTATGAATAATAATTCTGATGTTGATTGCAGGTGTCACATTTAATTAAAATTTCCTGTCACAAACATGGAATAAGGTGCTTTCACACCTCCTCATCCCTATGGATTTTTTTCCACAGGTGAGGTAACCCAAACATGTTGGAAAGCTTTGGACAAAACTTTCCTTTATCTTCCTCTCAGACCAGACTTGACTGTTTCCATATGGATATTGATCACTGATGAGGATCAGTATTTGCGTGATGATTGCTTTGTATTATTACCCTCTAGAATAATGTCTGTGTCTGCAATGGTTTGAAGATGGTAATACAGAAAACATGTAATGTATGAACCTCTATGTATGTAACGTATGAATTTACTTCCATACATGTATGAAAAATGCAGATCATACATACATACATTTTTATTAAATTAACTAGCAATTGTATCTGTGGGCAACTAACATCACCCAATTATCATTATATACCATATTAATGTTAAGTGCTAAATAAATATATTAAAAAATTTATTTTACATTTATTCCTATATATACATATCTAAATGATGATTAGAACAATAAACAACAACAATAATGATTATAGTGATGTTATTAAATATTAGTTAAAATAAAAGAGAAATTTATATAAACTATTTAATGATTGATAAAACCTTTGTTAGTATATTTTGTTCATAGATCTTGCTTGTCCTTAAAGCTTACTTCAGTTACTCCTACACAAATTATTAAATAATTGATAAACATTCATTAGAAAATTTTGCAAATTGCATATTTCTTTGATTAATGCAATAGTCTATTTATTAGATTTAAAATAAATGAACTTAGCTGTTCTTTGTATTTTTTTAATAATTAAGATAATTCTCTTCCCATTCATCTGGAAAATTCATGTGACAAAAGGTCTGCAATACAAGGGAAATTTTTCAAATTTTATTTTGTTTCAATTTGTCTATTTTTGATATTGACTTTTGTGTAACACATCATTTTAGGGCTAAACATAGTAAATTCAGTAAACTTGTGCAAATTTGTAGCTCAAATTCTCCACAACAACATGACATATCAATGAGATGAAATCATGATTTTGTAGAGGAAGGTCTTGGCTTCAAATATATACACGATTTATTTTGGGTGTTGCATTTCCATTTTTGGAGAATTTGAAAATCTACACAACCAATAAAAAGTTGTGGGACTAAGTGATTTGAATCATATGATCATATGTATGATTTGCATTTTCATACATGCAGAAAAAAATCTTACATACTAATACATACATATTTATTATATTATTAAGCATGGTGGACATTCGAATGTTGCACCAATTTTTTATGCCATATAATGTAATTTTTAAAGTAAAAAAACTGTGCGCTCAATTAAAATGGGTATACATTGATATGTAACACATACTATAACTTTACAGAGATATTCTTTAATGTTTTTTTAACTTAATTCCAGCTTCATCTGTCGACATCCACAATTTTGACATACTTTACTTAGTACCAACATTTACAATATGTTATTATGCGGCGGATGTGTAATTTGCAACAAAATTAGAGTAGGCTCTGAGGTATAGGAAAACAAGTAAAAATAAAGCAGAACTGGGAGTTTGGTGGACAAACTTGTTATCTTTTAAAACATTTTCAAGGTATAATAGTGAAAAAAGCCAAATGTGCACTTTGTAAAGAAACTAAAACTTTTAAACAATAAATGAAGCTACTAAAGGAAAAACTGAAGGGGATACAACAAGGTATTCATTCTATAATTATTATTAAATTAATAGTTTGGTATAATATATTTACTTTGTATATCTATTTCTTATTATTGGATGAATAAATGATGAATAGTAGAAGGTGGTTGTTCTATAATTATTCTTAAATTAATAATTTTGTATAATATATTTTTTTATTTATTTATTTGTTATAGACATGGACATAGAAACAAGATAGTCATTTTATAATTATTATTAAATTAATGGTTTTGTATAATATATTTATTTTTTCTTGTTATTAGGTGTGGATAATAGAAACAGGGTGTTTGTTCCATAAATTAATGGTTTTGTTTCCTTAGAACACAAGTAAAAGAAACAAGGTAAGTTGTTTTATAATTCTTGTTAAATTAATAAATTTGTTAAATTTGTATAATATATATTTATTTCATAAATAATAGGAACAAGGTAGTTTGTTCTTGATTATTGTTAAATTAATGGTTTTGCATTGTTTGCTTCCAATATCTACTTGATAAAACTTATACATCACGAAGCCTCTTCTCTAAATTTTTGTGTAATCTATTTGGCCATTCAAATTTTCTTTTTTGTGTAATCTGAACGACAAAAATCATTACCAATTATAAGAATGTCCACCATGCTATATTATTATTATATTAATTTAATAAAAATGTATGTATGTATGGTGCGTCTAGTCTAGTCCAGCAATTGACATAATAAGTGGCCAAATTTGAAAATTATATATGAACACAGGTGTAATGTTGTTAGATCCACAAAT